GAGTTCCATAAGCGTTTGGGACCTTCCTTGATGGCAAATTTTGCTGTGATAGTGTTTTAGAATAAGGTTGGTAATGTGGCTCTCTTTGGGCAAAATTAATGGATGTTTGACCTCTTCGCTAAGAGATGACCCTTTCAACCTTCCTCCAACACGAAGACCATTTTTCAAGATGGGATCCAGGTGGAAAAGTGAACTGGATTTCTGAAGAGCCTTACCTCCTTGGATTGTTTGGATTTCTTGGGAGAAGGCTCGTTCTTGAATAAGCTTAATCACAGCCTGTAATGCACACTTGCGTTCTTCAACGGTGACAATATCCTTAAGACATTTCTTCCTTAATGCTAGCCTTTTTATTCGAGCAACAACATTGATTAGAGTTCTCAGGGAAGAGAAGTGGCCAAATCGATCAAGGAAGTTAGCAGTATCACTACTTTTAGTCAGCCGTACCTGTACAAGTTTGACTTCAGGATCTCCTACTAGTAATTTAGTTGAAGTGTTTGGAGCTGGACACACTTTTTGGTCCCATAAAAATGTAGGTCCAGTCATCCAGTTAGTAGATCTCAACTCTGAAATGAGTAAACCTCTAGAGGCATGGTCAGCAGGATTTTGAGATGTGTTGACATGATACCACTGGCTTGTATTTGTAATTTCCTTGATCAATTGAACACGATTAGCGACAAACACGTGAAACCTTCTTGCTTCATTGTTGAGATATGCAAAAACAACTTGTGAATCAGACCAAAAGAACTCTTGATCGATCATCATTTGCAGTTCAGCTTTTAGCAAAACACTCAGTCTAGCAGAAACCACCGCAGCAGCCAATTCCAGTCTTGGAATACTCTTGATTTTTATAGGTGCCACTCGAGCCTTGGCCATTACTAGGCAACAATGCACTTCATTTTTGTCACTCTTGACTCTTAAGTAGGAACATGCACCATAACCAAAGTTGCTTGCATCTGAGAAATGATGCAACTCTGTCAACACAATCTTACTAAAGGACGAAGGATAGTAACATCTTGGAACAGTAAAATCTTTCAAGTCCTGGAGACTATTTTTCCACTCCTCCCACCGTGGAATTAAGTCATCAGGGAGAGAATCGTCCCATTCCATATTTCTCTGACAGAGCTCCTGCAAAATGCACTTTCCCTTCAAAAGGAAAGGAGCAACAAATCCAATGGGATCGTATAAGGAAGATACAATTGACAAGATACCTCGACGTGTTGCAGGCTGATCTTTAAGTTGAGTGTTGAAACTGAATGTGTCATCCTTTGTAGACCACTGTATGCCAAGAACATGCCCAGACGATTCAGCAATCAAATTTAGTGGCTTAGAAGAAACCGCCCACTCTGACGAATCCACACAGCGCAAGACATCTTTCTCATTTGAGTTAAACTTATGGAGACGTAACCCTCCAAGCTTGCACAGGGTTTTAGCTTCGGCAATCAAATCTTTAGCTTCCTGTATAGATGGAACTGAAATTAAGCCATCATCCACATAAAAGTTATTATTCACAAATGAAGAGGCTTCAGAATACTCAGATTTGTACTTCTCTGCGAGATACTTCAGGCCAAAGTTCGCACACCCAGGAGATGAAGCTGCACCAAAAAGATGCACAGTCATTCTATATTCAATGGGCTCTTCTTTCAAATCCCCATTCTTCCACCATAGGAATCTTACATAATCTCTCTCTTCAGGGGGGACATGAAATTGATAAAACATCTTTTCGATGTCACATGTCACAGCAACGGCTTCCTTCCTGAATCTACAAAGTACTCCCACCAGAGAATTAATCAAATCTGGACCAGTAAGAAGAGTATCGTTAAGAGATATGCCACAGAATTTTGATGAGCAATCAAATACTACTCTTAACTTGTCTGGCTTGTGAGGGTGGTAAACTCCATGATGTGGTATATACCAAGCTGTTTCTTTATCAGGTATTACTGGAGCAATCTCTGCATCTCCCTTGTTGAGCATTTCTTCCATAAAAATCTTGTAATTCTCATGGTACTGTTGATTTGACCTTAACTTCTTACCTAAATGCTGCAGACGTAATAAAGCCAGCCTCTTGTTGTTAGGGAGTGAAGGTGGATTACTGCTCTTGAAAGGAAGAGGTAACTGAAAATGTCCATCTTCTTTATGCTTGATGTTATCACTGAGATAACGAATAAAGCGGACATCTTCCTGTGACACATATTTGTCTTCATAACTTTTCTCATTAAAGTCACACTCCAAAACTTTCAAGACATCATTAGCTGTTGGAACTCTCATTTCTTTCACAGACACTCGATGAACAAAACTTTGACTTCCTTGTCTGTCTAAGTGGGGATTACAAAGACCGTTAATGCTCCAGCCCAGCGCGGTTTTCTGTGCAAAAGGCTCATTTTCCTTACCGATTATGACCTCTAGGGGAGCCAACGCTGAAGGGCAGTCATATCCAATCAATAGTCCTATATCACAACTCTGAAGTGGTGGCATTTCATTGGCTATGTGCTTAAGATGAGACCAGCATAATGCAGTTTTCTTCGTTGGAATGTGAGCTTTATCCACAGGAATGAAATCACACGTATACACTTGAGGTATTTGGATACATTTCCCACCTTGAAGTCCTCGGATTCGCAGACCACTAACCTTGTTACTTGAAGTAATCGTGTCTGTAGTTGTCATAGTGCTGAGTTTCAGCTTCACCACTTGACTGCTCACTTGCAGCTCATCAATAAAATCCTTCAGAATAAAGCTTGTGTCACTTTGTGTATCGAGTAAGGCATAGATAAGGATCTCATTTTGTGGCTCTTCTACTGTGGAGATAAACACTGGAACAATACTAGAAGTAGCAGAGACATGTTGTGTTACTGCATAAGACATTGCCCTTTGGCCCTCTTGACTTGTATATGCTTCTGATGTAATATCTGCTTGGGATACCTCTGAATGTTTGCGTTTATCTTCGTGCAGACAAGTTGGATGACGCAGTCCACATGTTCCACAAATATGGCGTCTCCTACAGTCCCTAAAAATATGCCCTCTTCTCAAGCATCCAAAACACATGTGATTTTCACGAATGAAAGATCTTTTATCATCCATGGGCTTCTCTGCAAAGATAGGACATTTGACGATACTATGCATTTCACTCTTACACACAGAACATGGTGATGTTACCTTGAATTCTGGTCTTGAACCTTTTACTTGAGCCTTAATATTGAAAGCTTTTGCTCTTTTCAGATACTTTTCATCTGGAACCTTTGAACTGGCTAGCAGTGGAGAAGTGAAAGGGGTTGCAAGCTATCTTTGATTCCTTCTTCAAGAATTCAGCAAATTGCTTAAAACTTGGATAGTCTCCCGTCATATCCAACTCTTCAACAACAATTCTGTTCCATTTATGGACAATCCATTCTGGTAACTTCTTAAGCAACTTGTAATTTTCCTCACAATCATTCAAGATGGACAAACCTTTGACTTGTGGAATAGCTTCAACACAACCTTGCAAGAAATCACTGAACTCTCTCAAGGAAAATGGATCGTTTACTCCCACCTTGGGCCATCTCATGAGTCTCTCTCGAAAAGCACGTTAAATAATGAATGGGTTTCCATACCTCTCCTCCAAGACTCTCCAAGCACCCTGATATGTATCATCTGAGTTCTTATAAAAGAACCCTTCTACGGCCTTACGAGCTTCTCCTGCAAGATAGGTTTTTAAATAGAACATTTTCTCACTTGCTGGGATGGATTTACAATCAATGAGTGCTGTGAAGGACATTTTCCATTCAATAAACTTCAGAGGATCACCATTAAAAGTGGTTGGTTCTGGAACTGGTAAACGACTTATACTTAAGGAGTTCACTAATGCTTGAGCTAAATTCTCAGTCTCTTTAGTTTTCCTTTCTTCTTGAAATGTTTGTGAAGGTAATGGATTTATCACAGGATTACGTTGAGGTTTGTTAGAAGCTTTTCTTCATTCAGGATAAATGACATTTCCGGTCTCGTCGTCTTCCAAACTGCTCTCTTCAAGACAACTTTCTGCATTGTTATAAGCTTTCACTCGAGCTGCAGCTACGTTGACATCTTTTTCCGCTTGTAACAATTGCAATTTTGCTTTTTCTTCTTCTAACTTGGAGCGCATTTCAATTTCTTTCTGTTTAATATCTGCTAACATTCTTGCTTCTTCCAGCTTCCAGTCATTCTCCAGTTTAACTAGTCGAGCTTGCTGATTGGAAATTTCTTGAATGGCCCTTTTCTGCTCTACTTTAGCCGCAAGTTCTGCCTCTGCATCAGCTCGTTTACTTGAAGCATTAGAGGAAGTTTCTGAGACAGCTGACAAACTTTCTACAGTCTGTGACGATACTGAGATAATGGTCTCTGTATTGGTACAACCAAATATAGACTCATACTCCTCTTTGTTCAATATCTGCCTAACTCTCTCTTTAACTACTTCCCTTTTTTGAATGACATCAACAGTTTCTATTCGTTTGCTCACCAAATCACAAATTTCTGTACTCAATATGGAACAAACATCTACTCTTCTTACAATCTCTGGAGTAGCAGTTTGATTACGCAGTAATGGGGCATAATGTTGAGTGACAACATCCTGACTAGTTTGAATGTCTTTCAAAATTTGCTCAAGCTCATCACATGTGCATAAGGCTTTTAATTTACATCTAATTTCTTTAGCTGTCTGCTTGCAGGAAGTATAAGCTTTATTAAAGGCTTTCTCGTGCTTTTTTGTCTCTTGTTTTGCATTTCTAAACCCTTTTCTGTGGGATTTCTTTTTCGAGAGCTTGATCTTGATCTAACCTGTTGCATTTCTGTTGTACTATTCAGATCTTTATCAAAAACTGACCTTTGACTTGCTTGTGCTGCCATTTGCTCTGCTGTGTCGTCCATTTTGTCTGTCTACAACTTAAATCAGCAACCTGCTTACATCAGACAAATTTAAACACCTAAAATATTATAGCAAAGGTAATAAGTCAAATCACATGTGCAACAACAGTATAAACTCTTAAGACTTTGAGCACTTTAAAATTGCAAACATTTGTCTAATACATGCATCATGAATATAAGCCCAACATTACACAAACACCTTGAAACATGAGCACTTAAATCATTAGTCACTCCTCATTCTCAAACTTCAATTACTGCATACAAATTCAACAAAGCATACAAATATAAATCCCTTTTTTTTTCTTTAAAAATTGCAATTATCCCAAAAGTAATAAATAGATAAATATTTTTCCCTTTCTTGTACCTCTGAGTCCACAACGTTTGTTTGCAGTCACCTTTCAGTCTTTCATGAAGAGTTTTCCCAGTTAACCGTGTAAAGTCGCCGTCCTAGTGTAGATTCAGTCTCTTGTAGATGCCATGCAGTGCCACAGACAAGATGAAGGCTTGTAACATGACACTCATGTGATGAATCACCAACGCGATGCAAACGCCATGTGTAGCAGCGAGTTTTACTGTAGCAGCCCTTCAGCTTTCAATAAATAGGCAGAGAGTTTTTGATGGGTGCATTTAAAAAGGTTTACTTGGATGCAAAAAAGTTCATCACATAAATCATCGTCTCAGTTCTTTGTTGTATACACAGAAGCATCAAAAGACCAAAGGCACCAAAAGCACCGTAAAACTAGAGAAAACAAACAAACAACATAGAAAAATAAACAAAAAACATTTACAAAACATCTAACATTTTCTAAATAAATCAAACAATAAACAAAACATACCTCGCTCTGCTTGCCGAAGGGACACTAAAAGCTCAAGGCATTCTTCCGAGCTGTACCTGTTAGCTCGTGAACAAACGTGAATTGCTCTTACTCTGCTTTGTCTCACTTAAATCCTATAAGTCTAGAGCGCCCTCCTGTGGTGACTCCAATTAGGGCAAGCAAAGCGAGTGCATTAAATCATGGGCAGTTACACTTAAGGATTTGAGTTTTGTTAAGAAACCGACTGCTAAACATCCCGCTGCGTAAACACTCGTTACTCTTAACAAAAAGCAAACATGAAACCTGTACATTAGGCACTGCTGGGATTTGAACCCAGTATCTCCTGTTTACTAGACAGGCACTTTGACCAACTAAGCCACAGCGCCAACGCTGAATAGGAGGCAAGACGTTTTTGCACACAGAGTCTAAAAAAAGACAGCAAGTTTTAAAATGGCAAGCAAAGAGGTTGTTTAACTCTATTTGTCGCACTATTCATTACGCCTCAAAGCTATACAATTTTATAATTCATTCCGGTGAGCTCCATAAAACAAGCACACGCGCCACCTGGACTAAGGCGCTGCTGGGATTTGAGCCCAGGATCTCCTGTTTACAAGACAGGCGCTTTGACCAGCTAAGCCACAGCGCCACAGAAATTTGCAGGAAGAGACATTTGCCCGATAACAAAATTCGAAGAAGAAAAAATAATACACAACAAAAACCAGCATGTCAGGATGCAGAAAATGCTGACAAGACGGACGCGGTCATTTAGAGTCTGGATGATCATGTCTCAAACCTGACCGGTAACCTGGCCTTTGTTCAAGATCAAAGCAAAAAGTGCATGAATTTATTTTTATTTAATCTATCCTAAATCATGTGTTAAGTGTTTTTTGGAACCTTCAGATTCATTACATCCAAACCCAGAGTCAGCTCGGAAAATGGAAATCAGGACAAACATATGCTATCGGCCATTGAAAGAGTTTCAGATCAGAAAGCCACTCTCCCATAATCTGAGGGAAAGGTGCAGTTTGGATTTGAACCTAGCACCTGCTGTTCCCAAGACAGGTGCTCTGGCCAACTTAGTCTTAACACTAAAAGAAAAAACCTCTGGATATGATACTTCCAAACGCAGTTTCATCTAAGACAGTAGGGGGGGAAGCAAAATTTACTATGCTTTCTATTCAGTTACTTTGCACATGCATAAAAAGGCTCTTGTACGACAAATCCAAAAGGCGTGATCTCAACAATAGGTGGCAGTTACTTTTCCCCAAAACCACAGGTTGCCGACGAGTCATTCCTCAAGCCCACTAGGCCCTACACCATTTTCTAATCTCCCTTATTTAAAACAGCTCAATTAAGTCATCGGCTTTATTGTAGAGTACCCCTAGTATCTGAGCCTGCACTGCGCAATGAAAGAAAGAAGCAAAACGGGATGGACAGTTGCCTAAAATGTTAGAAACGCACCACACCTTAAGTCAGTGAAGAAAAAGAGCAAAGCTTGCAACTCTGGTGGGACTCAAACCCACAACCTTTGAATGGCTCAGCTCACAGCCTAGAAGTCCAATGCACTATCCATTGCGCCTCAGAGCCTGAGTGCTCCGCTTTCTCTAGCACTGTTGCACACAAAGCACTTTTTAGTACTCTCTGGTCCATGAAAGATCAGCCAATTGTGGACAAGGCACTGCTGGGATTCAAAGCCAGGATCTCCTGTTTACTAACAGGCACTTTGACCAACTAAGCCACAGCGCCAAACGACCTTTATAGGGGCTAATTGTTTAATTCCAAAAAATAAGAAAAACTAACAACGGTAGCGCTGCATGTGGGAATGTCTGGACTTGAAATATGAAAGTCCAATTGGTTAGGCATTACCACACTATGCTATATAAAGCCATCGTCCAAAGCCCTCTTGAACGAGCAGCGTTCTTAAGGATTTGAGTATTGTTAAGAAACCGACTGCTAAACATCCCGCTGCGTAAACACTCGTTACTCTTAACAAAAAGCAAACATGAAACCTGTACATTAGGCACTGCTGGGATTTGAACCCAGGATCTCCTGGTTACTAGACAGGCACTTTGACCAACTAAGGCACAGCGCCAACGCTGAATAGGAGGCAAGACGTTTTTGCACACAGAGACTAAAAAAAGACAGCAAGTCTTAAAATGGCAAGCAAAGAGGTTGTTTAACTCTATTTGTCGCACTATTCATTACGCCTCAAAGCTATACAATTTTATAATTCATTCCGGTAAGCTCTATAAAACAAGCACACGCACCACCTGGACTAAGGCGCTGCTGGGATTTGAGCCCGGGATCTCCTGTTTACAAGACAGGCGCTTTGACCAGCTAAGCCACAGCGCCACAGAAAACCACAGGTTGCCTTTGAGTCATTCCTCAAGCCCACTAGGCCCTACACTGTTTTCTAATCTCCCTTATTTAAAACAGCTCAATTAAGTCATCGGCTTTATTGTAGAGTACCCCTAGTATCTGAGCCTGCACTGCGCAATGAAAGAAAGAAGCAAAACGGGATGGACAGATGCTTAAAATGTTAGAAACGCACCACACCTTAAGTCAGTGAAGAAAAAGAGCAAAGCTTGCGACTCTGGTGGGACTCGAACCCACAACCTTTGAATGGCTCAGCTCACAGCCTAGAAGTCCAATGCGCTATCCATTTATTTATTTATTTTTTTATTTATTTTTATATATTCTTTTTCAAATTTTACAATACATACATTTAAAAACATTTAAAACATCAGTTCAGAAGCATATTAAAATATCATTTACAAACATTTCTTAAGACATTATGATGGTTTCAAAACAGGAAAACAACAAGCATAATCATTCTGGCAAATCTATTTTCAAACCATCTAGTGTGTACATAATATAAGGAGTATTCAACATAAACGTTTTGTAAAATTCAGTCTCTTTTTCTTCCATTCTAAAATATTGTTCCACAGTTTTAATATAGTTTTCCAGTTTTCCTTTATACATTTTCCATAACTCTATTTTAGCATTTTTATTTTTCACAATGTTTCTCCTTTCCCAAATTACAGTTCTTGCAACTGATAGAAACAAATGGGCAATTCTTGTTTTACTTCCATTAAAACCAAATAAAAATATTTTATACCATTTTGTCTCCTCCTCAATCTGCTCTGTTTCTCTTTGCATCATTTGTTTCATCATTTCTTTTAACTTTGCCATAAATGTATTTAATTCAACACATTTTAAAAACAAATGCATAATACCTTCATTTTCCAGTCCACATATTTTGCATAATGCATTCTCACTGCTTCCGATTTGTGCCAGTTTTGTTTCAATGAAAATAACATTATGTCTAATAAAATAATCCAACGTTTCAATTTTTGCGTCTAAATATTTCCATTTTAAATTCTTCCAGATTCCCTCTTCATCTATTTCCACAAAGATTTTTTTTCCAAAATTGTTCTGAAACTGGTCTTTTATGCACTTTGTTTCTGAAACAAATGTAGAAAATTTTGAGAACACATTCTTGAAAATCTTTCTCATTTTCCTTTAAAATCACTTTCACATTATCATTGCTTTCATTATTTTGTTCAATTTTAACTCTCCATTCTTTAGGTATTGCACTTTTCACTATTTCAAATTGTTTTACCAGAGTTTCTCTTTTGATATCTTTCCCAATCCCATCCATGGCATCCACAATTACTTGGCGTGGTAAAAACCCTTCTTTAATCTCATATAAAACATCCTTAACCTGACATACACCTGCTTCCAACCAATATTTAAAATATACTTCTTTCTCTTGTGTTAAAATATTAGCATTTAAAAACAAAGGTTGATTTAATAACATGTTCCTCCCTTCTGGTTTAAAATCAACATGATTTAAAAACTCACTCCATGCTTGTAAAACTTCTTTATAAAAATCAGGAATCCCAGTCATCATGCTTTGTTTCAGTTTCATCCATAAAATATCATCATTCATATTAAAACCCCCACATTTGTTAAGATAAAACCTCATTACATGTTTCCATTCGGCTTTAAATTCTTTATTTGAATACCTTTTTATCACTTTGACTATCATGCTTTTCTTTCTTGTCTCTGGATCTAACAAACCTAACCTCCCATCATCGGTTGCTCCAATTAATACATTGTATCCGATTCTTGGTGGTTTTCCTTCCCAGATAAAACTCAGTAAACATTGTTTTATTCTCTGCTCATGCCAGTGATCCATAGGGGTAACTCCTAACACATACCACATTTTTGACAACATCAACGTATTTAAGATTAAAACCTTTCCTTTCAAATTGACTCTTCTTTGTTTCCACCATTCTAATCTCCTTTCCATTCCTCCGATAATTTCATCCCACATTATCTCCTTATCTCTTTTCCCATTTTCTCTAAAGGTTATCCCTAAAATCTTTATGTCTTTCTGGTCTTTAAATTTAAAAACATCAGGTAGAATACATGCATTGCCTAATCTCATGACTACAGTTTTTTCCATATTTACTTTAGCACATGATTCATTACAATATCTTTCAATGATTTTCATTGCATTTATCACACTTTGCATATCTTTTAAAATCAGTGTAGTATCGTCTGCATACTGATAAATTTTCTGTTCTTCTTCTGTTTCTACAATTTTAATTCCATGTATTCCTTTATCTTTTATTATAGCTGATCCTAGAGCTTCAGTCACTAGACTGTACAGCTGGGCAGAGAGTGGACATCCCTGTTTTATGGATCGTGTTACATTAAAACAGTCTGTAATAAAACCGTTAACTTTAATACGACTAATAGCTCCGTTGTATAAACACTTGATCCATCTTAAAAAATTATTCCCAAAACCAACCTTTTTAAAACCTCAAATAGAAAATTGTGTTCAACTCTGTCAAATGCTTTCTCGAAATCTACACGTATTACATATCCATTTTTTCTCTTTTCTTTCATGTATTGTATTAAATCTCTTATACTGCTAATTATGTCTGTGATATCTTTCCCTTTCACGCCATATGCCTGACTAGTTTTGATAATATCGGGTAAAACCTTTTTAAATCTATTTGCTAAAACCTTGGCTAAAATCTTAAAATCTGTGTTTAGCATTGTTAGGGGTCTAAAATTCCTCAAATCAGGGGGGCGCTAGTGAGCAGGTATGGAATAGGTTGTGTTTTGGGTGAGCTCCGCTAAATTTGATTAACTTAACTGTATTTTGAGCGTCTTTTGTTTGCAAACCGCATCAAAAC